AGTGCTTATGGCTCAATGTCCTAACTGATACAGCACAAGGATGGGACCCAGCTGGTGTCTGTCCTGACCACCAAATCACACTAGGGAACAAGGCATGTGTCAGAAACAGCTCCCCAGCGGCCTGCCTTACATCAGCCAGTGACAGAGATGCCCCATGAGATGAAACGGTCAGAGGTGATCAGGGCCAGCTACAGTGCTTGGGCAGGACCTTTTGCACATGAGGCAGACACGCTAACTGCTACTCTACAGCCACGGTGGGCAGCTCTATTGCCCCATTCCTCACCTTCCCCTCTCCTAGATCTCTCCAGCCCCTTTCTCAGCGCAGCGTCTGGCAACAGAAGAGCCCTGTGGTGCGGTGTGACATACCAGCGACAATCCAGACCAATGAATAGCTGTGTCCCCCCTGCCCTCTAACCTGGGCCTCCAGCCTGGACTGCTCACAAACAGCCTCCAGCATGTAAGTCACTCCCAGCTATGTCTGTGTGTGCTGCAGCCAGCCAGCCAGCCAGCCAGCCACCCCTTGGCTTCTACCAGCCTGGGTTATGCTGCAGGGTGACCCCAGCACATCCCAGTCCTAGATTTCCCCCAGAAATGTGTGTCCTGTACTGCCCAGCCCTCTCCTGGACAATACAAGCCTGTACAAAGGCTGTTGTTTGATGGATAGAAATGCTGTGCACACATCTTGTTACCCAAATGGCGTTTCCCAGCCACTCAGTTCAAACACACTGGATTAGATAAAACAATAAAACAAGTTTATTAACTAGAAAGAGGGAGATTTTAAGTGAGTCAAAGTAATGAGGCATAAGAGGCAGACATGGTTACAAGAAAAATAAAGATAAAACGCAACTGATGTCTAACTTAAACTATGTTAAATTCACAGGAGTGGGCGGTTTTTGTACCCTTCCCCAGACACAGCCGTCTTGCAAGGAAAGAGAAAAGTCAGGCTGGGGCTGTAGGTGCGAGACCAACAAGGGCAGTGCTCTGGGAAGCAAACGTGCTCACACTTTCTGTGATTTCTGTAGGAATACCTGGCAGGTATGATTCCTGCCTTTCATCCAGCTGGCTTCTTCCCCACCATGACCCGAACAGGTGCCATAGGGCCAGGAGCTCACCGATAGCGAGTGGTGAGATTCAGCTGGCTTGACCAGTTGAGCCTGCCCCAATTCACCGATGTCACAATCTATATCTAATAGGTGTCATGTAATACCGCCCCGATCCTTACTGTTCTTGCATGCTGTATGTACACGGGGGTATTAAGAGTTGGGGCTACATGCTGGAATTATGACTAAAGTGTGGTTAAACCAGGCATGCCAGGGGAAGTGGCTAAACAGCTGTGCCCTAGACAAATGCATGTGTATTTGCTTCCCTGACCAGTGCGGTCATCAGGCAGAGACAACGAAGATCCATTTACATATTAGGTAAACAAAGCTAGCGCATGGGGGAGGGGTCAGCATGGCAGCTTCTCTCCAGCGAGAGCGAGACGTTTGGTCTGGGTTTTTACATTGCAAAGGGTTACTGCTCTATAAAGACGGGGGGCTGAACCTCAAGTGACAAGCAATTGACTCAACGGATTGTACACCACGTTACTGTATTATAAAAGCATGCCGAGCGAGGTGTGTTCTGACAGCCTATGCCACACTGGGGATTAACACCAGCATCAAATGTCTCTCTTAGTGCTAGATCTGGCCTCATGGCTATGCGTTGATATTAGGCTTTACAAACGAAGTGTGACACCGTGTCTCCCAAAGAGGTGGGAATGTCACAGCTCTTCACCCATCTGGTGGAATCAAAACAATGGACGTCCACTGAAACCAGGTCATTGAACTTGGGCAGACCTAAGCAAAGCCCAAAGCCATCTTTGGCACCCCTCACTAGCCCGACACAAGGGATCAGAGCTCTCGCAAGCTGAGAAAGATGGGCCCTTCAACTAAGGGGGAGGGCTGAAGTCCCTGAATATTGAAGCTAGGTGAGAAACCTGCCTGGGCCAAGATGGTTCACCTAGCATGCCAAGGGAAGCCAGCCCCTTGTTCCACTGTGGAAGGTCCTGATGAGGGAGAGTCAGCCATGGCTGGGAAGAAGGACGATTGATAAGAACACTGCCTTGAACAAAGACTGTAGCTTGTTAAGTCTCAATCAGTAGAAAGTGTATTTTGGTTTGTTTTATGTGTAACTCTTTCTGGCTTCATTCCCGATACCTGAACTCACTTTATCCTCAGTATATTTTGGTCCGACATTTGTTTTATGTTTACTATAAATCAGCTCAGTGCTGGGTTTGAAAGGAAGGGGGTATTTACCCCAGTTACGTTAACAAGCTGTAATGTGCGTTTGTCTTGTTAAGGAGCAACCAACCCCATTATTTCTCCGAGTGTCCAGGTGAGGGCTAGATACTGCACCCGGTTTGGGGGAAATTCAGGCCTGGGAGTGTGCTGGGGACACCCCGCTGGTGGGAGCCAGAGTAGGGCTGGAGACAGGCTGCTGACCCAGGGCTGTCTAGCACACAGACACCCGGCAGGCTGGGCTAGGAGCTACAGCAGCAGAGCACTGCCAGGCACCCAGGTTTGCTGGCCTGGATCGTGCCCCCAGCAGCGTGACACCCACTCAGAAGCCATCACTTTCTGCAGCTCCCCCAGGAAAGGGTGCAGCTGTCGTCACATCAAGAGCCTTCCTTTGGCTAAGGGAGGTTCACAGGGCTGCTGACGCCGAGCACCGAACCAGGGTTCTTGGAGGTTGCAAGTTAGCAGCCTCTGAACTGAGCTACTCTGGCAGCTGTGCGCTCCTCAGGGCGTTCCTTCAGGGCTCACACAGACAAAGAAAGAGTCAAGGCAGCTCTTGTGTAGCTGGTTTATCAGAGCCAAGGAACGTTTTCTGCTTGGGCTGTCACGACCCCAGGTTTCCAGTACCCAGGACTGGGGGAAAACTGCTACTGCCACCAACTCTGCAACTTGCTCTTGAGTCACCCCCTCACTCCGCTCCCTTGGCCAGGACCCTGGCCCCAGAGTCAAGTGATTGCTGATGAATATGGAAACTGCTCCTCAAAGGCCGCTCCAGGAAAACCCTGTCACCACCGCTCCCCACCAGGCTTGGCTAACACACGGGCTGAATTAGTTACAATTAACCCCACAAGTGAACTCCTGTACTGTTCATCTAGAGGTGCCCTCTTCACCTTCTCAAGCCCTGGAAAGTCTTATGACAGATCCCAGGTCAGACGTCCTCCTCAGAAGCTTCTGGGTCGTACGCCCCCAGCCCCGGTCTCAGTGCCGCCTTCCCTGATGGCCGAGTCTCTGGTGTCCTGAGCATCCAACCCAGGATCTTCAGCTAGGTCCTGGAAAAACCCACTTCTAGTCGCCAGCCTCAACTACCTCTCCCGCCCGGGCCTCTCCCGACAGCCGGCATTTGAACAAGTAGTCCATGGTGGCTCCTAGCAACTGAACAAGTCTTGACAGAGTACTCAAATGTCAGGATGTGGGCTGATGGCCAACCCCGGCTTTACTTCCCACAGCTCATGCGAAAAACAGCAGTAACCCCCTGTCACGCAACCAGCACATGGGTGGTTTTAAAATAGAATATTGCAGCAGTTAAAAATACAAAAATAAAAATGTTAATGATGTCATTTAGTGTCTTTTAATCTTTGAAAGGCAACTCTTGCATGGATAGACCATAATTAAATTTTAGAATTTCTTAAAACCTGGTTTCCCATCACTTAACTACTCAGCACTAGCAAAATGAGATTTGTTTGGTAATACCATCCCAACTAAGGTTCAGGCACTACCATAGGCTAGAACCAATTTGCTGGCAAGCCTTCGAAAAGAACAATCACCCTAATGAAGCATGTCCAGATCAAGTGACACATTGTCTCCTGTTCGCTAACAAGAATCAGCCACCTCACCATGGAGCTAGGAAGCAGGACAGGCGAAAGAATAGGTGAGACACAAGAACACACATGTGAGTCCCTGGTATTAATTACAGTACAACTTTTATTAATACTGGAATCTTCACAGTGCATTCGTTACTTGTAGCAGTGACTATTTAAATCAAGGGCGGGGTGGGGAACAGGATAATTGTCCGAAAAAGAAAAGAAAAAGAGAGGGTGAGGAAAGGGTAGCGGAGGGGGAGAGACAGGAGCACGGGGGGAAATAAATTAAAAAAAGAACAAGTTAACAACAGCACCAGAAAAGTTACTTCAGTCGAAAGACATTTTTTTAAAGGAAATTTTTTTTCTCTGTACAAAATGAAAAATAAAACCAAAAAACAAACAGTTGTCACGCGTCGTCATCAGCTCTGGTCACAATAAGAGGGGCGGGAGAGACGGGATGGAGAGACGTTATAACTAATCTTTATTACACAGTGTCCGAGTAACAGGGTTGAGATGCGACACACACACACACACACCCCCCTGGGCTGGTGGGGCGGGATGGGATCTCCCATTTCGAGCTATGTACATCGTGGTGATCGGCTGTGCTTTGCATGAGGAGTGGGAGAGAGGAGAAAGAAAAGGCCAGGGAGGAAGGAGAGGTTGTGCTTTCTTAAAGGCCTTTTACAGATCCTTAAAATAACCATTTTCAAAGACTGACTAGGGCCTTCGGACCCAGGAACGCGGCTCCTGGGCTGCAGTTCAGACTTTTGCTTTTCACATCAGAGTTGGACTGTACATGCTACTAGCTTGGCCTTTATTCTTAATGCAATCCCCCCTCTCCAGCCCCACCCATCACCCAGCTGCTTCAGAGAGGCACAGGGCTGCTCCGCTTGGCTGAAGTGTTTCTCAGAGAACAGGGGAGCCAACCCCCAGCGTGCTGCTGAAAGCCTGGCAGGCTACAGGAGAGATGAACAGTAAGATCAAAACCATGGGAGTCAACTACAGTGCAACGCCACCCAAATCAAAGGGATCTGCTCATCTCCGGTGCAACTCCACCCAAATCAAAGGCATCTGCTCATCTCCGGTGCAACGCCACCCAAATCAAAGGCATCTGCTCATCTCCGGTGCAAC